TTATTTATTGGATGTCCCTGCAATGAAAATATAATCAATCAAAGTGCTGAACTAAGTATAGTATTGGGATAAATTCCACTATATGTAGGTTTGCTTCATTAGGATACTTGCTGAGTAAAGTGATAATTAGCATTACTGAAAAGTCAGTCAGGATCTTTTCCTAGCTTTTAAAGAAATAATTAAAATCACTTAAGATTCTTTTCTTCTATAAAACATTTTTTCCTTGGATAGGTACTCCAGCATATGAAAGGAAATCATTTGGTACTTAGCTTATCAAGTGGCTCAGTGAAGACATTGAATTTTATCAGTTATTTATTCTTGAGTTATATATTGATGCCACTGATGCCAAATATCAAAATCTTTCTGTAATTTGTGAAGATCGGTTTTGAAACTCAGTTGTCGAGCATCTTCCACCTGCCGTTAACCCAAAGAGGTACCTGGCAGGGGCAGCAGAAGCCCCGACCAACTCCCGGAGGCATTTGGGCACTGCAGGCTTTGAGGCCTGTGGGCTTTTATCATGATCTTCATACTCAAAGTACCTCACAAAAGGATAATCATATACTCATTATGTTTCAGGCAGGAAACACATACTGCTCTGGAATAGTAAAAGGTTTTCTTGATGTCAGTCCCCAATTAATGAAAGTCAGAAGATAATTATAACAATAGTTTTTCACACGTACGCTTTACTGTTTAGAAACCTTTGGCAAGGATCTCTTGGAAGAACAGAAATGGTGATAGAGGGCAAAGCCTACCACAACATAATGACGGCTGTATGAAAAAAAAGTCTATTCACAGATTCATAACGTGGCTTAGTTCATTAAATGATGGGCACAACCTATCATTCAGGAGCAGAATAGAAGTAAACAGATAAAACACCAATGATTTTGGAAGCTGTTAACATACAGCAAAATAAATTGACCAACACAAATCATAATACAGAACATGATGAGATTTGGTCTGCGTGTGATGAAGTGACATTTAGCATTGGAAAGCCACTGAGGTTGTACAGCACAATGTGTGGATCCACCTCTAGGGCACAGGTGGATTTGAATCTCATACCAAATATGCTTTAGATTTTTTCAGTTGAAATGTCAAACAACTTAATTCCCACTTCTAACTGGAATAATGATAAAAGTAAGAAGCCTATGTTTTCTTTGACCATAAAAATAGATCATAGTTTTACTGTTTTTTATTCTTCTGTCACATTGTTATGGTATTTATATTTTCTTTTTTAAGTAGTACAGTAGTTCTCCTTAAATTAAGTGTTGACAGCTTAATTATATGTGATTGATATGCTTATATGAGTGAGTCAGTAGCAAAATGTAAATTATAAATGTTAACTCTTTTGCATTGGCATAGTTTTCCAAGTAGGAAAGGCAGGGTAAATGACATGCTTCAATTTCAGAGAATCTGGCAGATTTCTACAGTAAAAAAATATAAGGAGTAGTCTTACTGTACTGAAGCCAAAATTGTCACTGGTAAAGTGGAATACCAGGAARCTTTACTGAGAGAATTCCATTTGAATCTGCTCAGCTCCTACCTTGCCATAAATCCATGCTGTCCATGTGTATTCGTTCAGAGACTCATCTCTCTTTCTGATCAGGTTTACACGCAGGAGGGCTCTCCATGACGATTTTTCTCAAATATCTGTAATGTCATCAGTGCTAGACAAATAACAGAAACAACAGCAATAAATAAAATGCTATTGCTGAAGGAGAAAAGCCACTTCACAGAAGTGCTGCAACTCTTTTTGTAACATCCTCAGTAATATCCTTGTAATGTCTAGAGATCTCGATGCTGCAGTTGAGAAACTGCAGTTAGTTAGTGAAATGTCTAAAGTATTTTGGGAAATGTTATGATTTTAGGGAGTTTCCAATTCTTGTTTTAAATTTCATCCAAGTCTACTTTAATGTCAATTAATGTGCTTAATGCAAGTAGGTCGCTGCCCCAGTTGCAGGGATGAGGCTTAGCTGCAAAGTTGATTTGAACGCTGTGTCCACCCTGCTGAAGACATGTCAGGCTGCATCCATCTGGCGCCGCACGCTTGATAATGTTCATGACATGAGCATGCAGCAAAGCAGCCAGCATCAAAACGCTAGGCAGGGCTCCTTGGGATAAATGAAGTACGCGGAAAAAGTTAGGGGGCTTCAAGTGACTAAGAAGATTTTCATGCTTTTTAAATCTCTCAGAAGGCTTGGAACAAATTTTGGTACCCCATTTGACCTTYTTCCTCACCACTGCAAGCAAAAGAAGGAATAATGTCCCTTTGCCTGCAACTAAAGGGCAAAATTATGTTACTCCTGTTTTCTACTAACAATGAAAATCATGAGCACACCGAGCTGCTACATTGGTGACACAAAACTACTCAAAATATGTGTTTTACAAAAAAAAAGGGTTGTGCTAAATAGTCACTGTAGGTGACATAGTTAAAGCCACCTTTAAGATTGGAATGAAACCCATTTTTAAAGAGATTTTTTGAACAAAATAACTGTTGTGACAAAAGAACTACTCAGGCACTTGTTAAAAAAAATGATTCTCTGACCAAAAATGCTTGGTTGTCAAACGCTGTGTTGGATTCCTTTTCACAATAATATTTTCTTCTCCAAAATACCACCACCACCCACCTACTGTACAAGTGGCTGCACACATAAAATTAATACATCTGTGCTCCAGCCTGTTTTGGCTAAAAGCAGCGGCAACACTCCGAACCCCAGATGAAGGAAGACAGGCAGGAAGAAGGTAGTTTTGGAGGTTACAGCTCCTGCGTTTTCGCGGGGATTGGTGCTGTATCCTCCTGCTGTGGCAGGGCTGAGGCGCCGGGCAAGCGCCCCGGCTGCGGAGCGGAGGGCGCCCGCCCTGTCAGCCACACCAGCGACCGTAACTGTCTACCCCAACACAGAAAACGCCACTTAGTGCTGCAACTCAGCGAATGGAAGGTTCCATTTCACTAGTGTGGGAGATTATGGACTAYAGYATWGTTTATTAGGGTTTAGGTTAAGCCAAATGTAAAGGCCAAACTACAAAAGATATGAGATACAAAATCGCCTACGCAAACTAAAAACAGCAACCAGATAATAGTAACCGGAYACTGCTTGTGYAGGMTGCAGCTACAGATAACCACCAGATGTTTTCAAGGATCAGCAGAAACGGACAAATTATCCATATAAGGATACAGGAGTAAGAGGTCAACTATGGGACAAGGGAGGAAGACTTTTTACTTCAGCCTCAACGACCACCGGGASGCAGAAAAGACCCCTTAGCAACAACTGAAGCATGYGCAAARRKWAMYYC